CCTGGACGGAGATCAAACCAATTCCCAAGTATGGTTGCTCAATATGGATTCTATTTCACTATTGACAGCTTCTTTCCAATATTGTGCATCTGAGGAAGACATTGCTTCCTTGAAGGTACGAGGCTCATTTTCTAACAGAAAAGTCAGAAAATCTGGACCGAATGAAGTAGATGTCCGTTGACGTTTACTTCTTCTCGGATTTTCCTCGTTAGGCATACCATCTGTTATTTCCTCCCGAGGTCGTTTTGACTTTTGGTATGTCACTTCACTTTCCTTTTTATACGGATAAATAGTTTCAAAGAATTCAGCATTATCTGATTCTATTATCGTATTAACGTGAATCTCCAGATTTTCTGACTTATGAACCAGAAAACGATATGCCTTGCTATTGGTTACATATCCAATGAATACACAATCAACCGTTTTTGGACCTATCTTAACCCTTTTAGGCTTAGGAACTTGTACCTTAGCTAGACACCCCCACACTTTGAAGTATTTCAAGCTGGGCTTCCTTCCTTTCCACTTTTCATAAGGAATGGACTGTGTTTTACTATGAGGTACACGGTTGATTATTCGGTTAGCTGTAAGTATAGCTTCCCCCCACAAGTTTTGTGGTAAGCCAGAACCTATCAGCAACGCATTCGATTCTTTCTCTCCGCAATTCCGTTAGATTGTGGAGAGTAAGGGGCAGTTGTTTGGTGAATAATGTCATTTTTCAAACATATTTCTTCAAAAGGAGATTCATATTCGCCACCCCTATCACTTCTTATCATTCTTTGGTGCACGACAATCCACGGCCTTATGCCCAGATTTTCCACAGTTGTGGCAATTACCCTTGAACTTCTTCTTGCTTGGGTAGTTCTTTGGTCCAGAAGCCTTCTTTCTCTTCTTGGTTTGTGGCGCCTCCTCAACAATGTTAGCCCCCATTATTGTCGAGTTCCCACGTGACTTCTTTTCAGCATTTTTGTTGTCTTCTTCTATCCTCAAACGCACAATCAAGTCTTCAAGTGTCATCTCCTTCCGCTTGTGTTTTAGATAGTTCTTAAAATCTTTCCACAATGGAGGTAATTTCTCAATGAAAGAGGCGACTTGAAAGGCCTCATTTATGACCATACCTTCAGCAAGGAGGTCATGTACAATGACTTGTAGTTCTTGAACTTGAGTTATGACCGACCTAGTGTCAATCATCTTGAAATCCAAGAACCTTGCAGCCACGAACTTCTTAAGTCCGGCATCCTCAGTCTTGTACTTCTTCTCAAGCGCATTCCATAACGCTTTTGAAGTTTCCATGACACTATAGACATTGTACAAGCCATCTTCCAAACAACTCAAAATGTAGTTTTTGCACAAGAAATCAGAATGTTTCCATGCTTCAGTTACAACAAGTCGTTCATCATCCGGAGTACTTTCTGCCAAGACCGGAGGATCCTTCTTGATGAAACGTTGCAAACTCAACATAGTAAGATAGAAGAGCATCTTCATTTGCCAACGTTTGAAGTTAATACCGGAAAACTTTCCGGGTTTTTCTGCTGGTGCCATAGCATGAGCAGGAGTAGAACGGCTTGACGAGGCAGCAACACTCGTAACAATAGCTCTCGTTCCCACAACATTTCCATTAGTTTGGTTTTCGTTCGTCATCTTTTGAATAGAGTTGAAAACAATACAGAACTTTGTTAAATCAGTGAAGTTTTGATATCTTCAAACTAAATATCAAACCAAACATACAACACGTAACAATGGTGAAGTTTTTATATACTTCAAACCCGTACGTTTATTATTCCGGCAAAGTTTTTATGTACTTTAAACCGGACAGAAAGAATTATTGGAGTAGAAAGCAACAAGGCTTTAGTCTCCAAAACAGTATACAAAATATGAATAACAGTTTAATATATGTTTCAACACAGAAACGTTAGTATTTAAGAATTCCTTAAGCTTGTGAGCGTTACTGTGTTAAAACACAAAATCAGGAAAACAAAACTGTTAGAAGAATTAAAGAAATCTGGAAAAATAGTAGAGTTTAAGAAATATTCCGAGTCCACAATTTGCTTGTGTATCCTTAAGGAATTTTAACCCCCTCACACGTTGCCAAGGTAATGGATTAAATCCTCCCAGGATAAAACGGAATAAACCTTCCTGCAACAGTGGCAATACAAACTGCAGGATACCAACGAACTTAAAGAACGGAGCAAAATCACACTTACGAATTTGATAGAGAGAGACTGCGAATTAGGATGCAGTATATTCAGAAAGAAAGAAGTTCTGGAGTGTTTTTCGTATCTAGAAAATGGAGCCTTGCCTCAGAATTTATAGGCAATTATCAGAAGAGGTGTCTGAAAAAGGTGCCTTTTCAGAAGAATACGCTGCCTGCGCGGTTCTACCGCGGTCGCGGCAGAACCGCGGTCAGAGGAGCCTTCTGAACCTGCCTGCAGAACCGCGGTCAGAGGGGCTTTCTGAACCTTCAGCAGCAGGGTTCTGGCGTATTTTCAGCAGTGATTTGGCATTTAATTAATTATTAAATAATTAAATAAATTTTGTCCAAAAAATAATCTTATCGATCGATCATTTGACAAATCCAAATCCAAATCCAAAGCCAAAGCCGTAGCCGAGCCGAGCGAGCGACAACGACGGCGCGAGGGTTCATTCTCTTCAACTCCTTTTATGAGCTTTAAGAAGTGATTCTATATATAAGCACACAAATGTGGTTGTCCCTCACCAATGAGGGACAAAGTGCAAGACAAAAGTTCACTTCTTCAAATTTTCAATTTCCCTCC